TCCACCGAGTTGTCTATACGCTGTATAATAAACTTTCATAACATGCGGCGATTGCCGAGTATTATCACCAACAACTAGTAAAACAACAAAATTCGCAAAATTTTCATATTTTCGTGTTTATCTCGATATCTATGCATCTCAGAGCAAAAGTGTAAGAAAGCAATATTGCTAAGAATAAAATTTACTACAACTATTGTTCTAAAAATTGTTTTGTAACATGCTTCGATTCCCAAGTGTTACCATTAACACCTTGTAGAATAACGAAATTCATCAAATTTTGATATTTTCGTGTTTTTCTCGATATCTACGCATCTGAGAGCAAAAATGCAAGAGAACAATATTATTAAGAATAAAATTTGCTACAACTGTTGTTCTAGAAGTTGTTTTGTAACATGCTCCGATTCCCAAGTGTTACCATGCACTAACAAGTAGTAAAACAACGAAGTCGCCAAATTTTCATATTTTCGTCCTTATCTCGATATCTATGCATTTGAGAGCAACTATACAAGAAAGCAATATTGTTAAGCATAAAATTCGCTACAACTATTGTTCCAAAAGTTGTTTTGTAACATACTCCAATTCCCTAGTGTTACCATTAACACCTTGTGGAATAATGAGATTCATCAAATTTTTATATTTTCGTGTTTTTCTCGATATCTACGCATCTGAGATCAAAAATGCAAGAAAGCAATATTGTTAAAAATAAAATTTGCTACAACTATCGTTCTAAAAGTTGTTTTGTAACATGCTCCAATTCACAAGTATTACTATTAGCAACTTGTAGAATAACGAAATTCATCAAATTTTCATATTTTCTAACTTTCCTCGATATTTAAGCATTTGAGAGCAAAAGTAAAGGAGAGCAATATTGTTAAGAATAAAATTTGCTACAACTATTGTTCTAGAAGTTGTTTTGTAACATGCTCCAATTCCCAAGTGTTACCATTAACAACTTGTGGAATAACGAAATTCATCAAATTTTCATATTTTCGTGTTTTTCTCGATATCTACCCATCTGAGAGCAAAAATGCAAGAAAGCAATATTGTTAAGAATAAAATTTGCTACAACTGTTGTTCTAAAAATTGTTTTGTAACATGCTCCAATTCCTGAGTGTTACCATTAACACCTTGTAAAATAACGAAATTCATCAAATTGTGATATTTTCGTGTTTTTCTCGATAGCTACGCATCTGAGAGCAAAAATGCAAGAGAACAATATTATTAAGAATGAAATTTTCTACAACTATTGTTCTAAAAGTTGTTTTGTAACATACTCCAATTCCCTAGTGTTACCATTAACACCTTGTGGAATAACGAGATTCATCAAATTTTTATATTTTCGTGTTTTTCTCGATATCTACGCATTTGAGATCAAAAATGGAAGAAAGCAATATTGTTAAGAATAAAATTTGCTACAACTATCGTTCTAAAAGTTGTTTTGTAACATGCTCCGATTCCCAAGTGTTACCATTAGCAACTTGTAGAATAACGAAATTCGTCAAATTTTCATATTTTTCAACTTTTCTCGATATTTAAGCATCTGAGAGCAAAAGTGAAGGAGAGCAATATTGTTAAGAATAAAATTTGTTACAACTATTGTTCTAGAAGTTGTTTTATAACATGCTCCGATTCCCAAGTGTTACCATGCATTAACAAGTAGTAAAACAACGAAGTCGCCAAATTTTCATATTTTCGTCCTTATCTCGATATCTATGCATTTGAGAGCAAATATACAAGAAAGCAATATTGTTAAGAATAAAATTCGCTACAACTANGGGCACCGTAGCCAAGGAAACGACACTCTCAAAGTCGCTGCCAAAATCAAAGAAATCAGTCAAAATTTATAGTTCCAAGATTTTTATTTATTTCGAACCACAATGCACGGGTTCGACACGAACATCATGGAACCAATGACCAGAAAATGTGACTCAGACACCGACGAGGGTCGAAGTAAAACAATCATGGCTAAGGGTCAAGGTTCCTCAGTGATAGCAGCGTCAAAAATCCCATCAACGTTTGTGAGCGGTTCGATTAAAACCAAGATGTATAACGAATACGCATCAAGCGATACACCAAAATCGCAAAATCTAAGTAAAACGAGACAAATCACACCTTCATCGTACGACACCCAAAAGTGGTTCCCTTCCATCGAAGGTAAAAGCGAAGGCAAAATCAGTGCTAAAGAACTTCAAACCGCATTCAAACAATTCCAAGGCAAACACTTTTCGGATAATGTTTGCAAATTCGTTGTGCGTCTATTCGATTTAGATAAAAACGGTGGAATCGACATTCGAGAATTTGAACAACTATACAGCTCGGTGAAAAAATGGGTTTCCGCGTTCAACACGTGCGATCGCAGCAGATGTGGATTTCTTGCCGAATCTGAATTAGATCTCGCTTTAAAACAAATGGAGATAAATTTCAGCCCGGATTTTGTAACATTCTTGATTAACCGGTGCGATCCGGTCAACAAAAAAATGTCCCTCGACCAATTTATCGTCACCTGCGTACAAATGCAAAAGTACACCGAAGAATTTAGGGCGAGGGATGAGAAATCGGACGGAATCATCAAATTAAAATACGAAGATTTTTTGGAACTCTTAATGAAGACGGTTTGACTGAGAATTTGTCGTTCTCGTATCGTCCTTGTCAATTCAAACCGGATTATTACCCCAAAATAACCCCTAATAACTGTCAAAAAGAACCGGATTCATCTCATCGCGCGCGCGCGGATGCTGATGTACAAAAGGATTGTGTCCGATTATATTTGTTATTTCAGCTGACCAATACAATATACCGTTAATGCTCTAAAAATTTTTCCTACAGTTGTTGTTATTAGTACCATTATTATTATTACGCAAAGCAAAAACGGCAGATGCCCATCGAAAACTCACCAACTCTTCACCTCGTTAAAAGAAACATCAACCGTCAGTTGTGTTGATTACTCGTTTTAAAACGTTATTAACCAGCGATTATTTATCAATTAGAAAATATTACCTTTAATTAAATTTGTAATTTAAAAAAATTATCTTTCAATGTTAAATTTATGTTGGTATTAGCTCAATTTTTTTTAGTGACATTTTCAACTTCACAGTTGACATTAATTTTCGAACTCAGTTTTTAAACGTCAAACGTGTCATTAAAAGAATTTAATTGTCGAATAACGCTTAAAGTGAAATTTCAAAGTGGAAATGAAAATCTTCGTATTATTCTTTGTGTTTTAGTCGGTGAGAATACTTAAGAAGAAACGTATAAGAAGAAACATTACCTAA